ATATTGACCGCACTGATTATTAATCGATAACACTATTCAAGGATGTCACGACTTTTATTTTCTTTCAAATAACTTCACAATATGCTAAAAATATTCTGTAACTTATCGTACGCCTTTGTCACTTGAAATTTTTCTCGTGCAAAACCACGCCGGTTTCATATACTCGATTACTATTTATAGACTTTTTACAATAGATTACAAAGAAACACGTGAAAAAATTACTCTTGAAATATCTTTTTGAAGTAAACACCAGAATGTATGCTGTAACTGTTGATTTTTCAAGGATTTGCAATGGTCTGACAAAAAAATATTTCAAACGAAAATTAATTAATGAGCTATAAACTGCAGTATAAAAAATTTCCTCAAAAATGATTTGTTCTCAACAAGAAATCACGGATACTTTGAAAACATTAAATTATACGACTCGAACAATGGAACATAAACGAAAATATGCTTATAGTGATATATATATTTAATAAGAATAACTTCATCAAAACTGAACCAAATATTTGGAGCAGGCGCAATATACAAAATTCTATTTTCCTAATCACCTATCCCAAATATAATGTTAAAAGGATACAACATGATCTACCAAATTCATTCAACATATTACAAAAAGAAAATTCTAGAAAAAAGGTCTAGATTTTTTTGAGAAAGATATAGATACTTAATTTAATATATGATTTAATATGTGATAAGTATGCTTTGTCTCGTTGCAATCCTCACCGTGATCATTAATAATCTTAGAAGATTCAGCATAATAATAATAATAATAATAATAATAATGAAACGTTTTAAATTTGATTCAAAAATTAATTTCGAATCGCTTGTTATATTATGTCGTTTATGATACGAGACATTGGAGATTTGAATAAGATATTGGCAATATAAATTATTGTTCATTTGGTCCATACGTATTATAAACATACGAATATTGAAAAAAGATACATAAATATACGATTACGAAAAATGTAAACTTTATCGAGAATGCTCGTTTTATATCGGAAGAAAAGATTTCGATTTATAATATTCTTTCCGAGTCAACGAAGGAAAATGGAATATTATTTTTAAAAGAAACATCACTCGGCGAATGTTGTAAAAATACGAATCATCGTGATTTCAAGTTCTGATTGTACTATAATATTTATTTAAATTTTACTTTCAATCACATACCAGAAAGATATAACCAGCCAGATTCTACGTGGAAAAATCAATCCAGAAGACGATATTTTTCCATTTAAGGCTTCGTTTCGAAAGATCGAATCTAAAGATTTATCAAATGCATTTAATTAATACCAGAATGGATAGAAACAAATAATAGAAAATTACTCTATGTTCAAAAATTAGTAAAAAAGTATAGAATTAAATTTTTCCATTCAAGGTCTCGTTTCCATTCAGATTATGAATACACGTTCAGTACACCATAAATTTTTGACAAAGTTTTATAGTTAATTTTCTAGGGAACGAAGCGTTTTATGAAAAAACTTTATCCTGCGTTTTCTATTTATTTTTGGAAATAGAATAATCTTCATCAATTATTCATCTTTATTTAGTCCAAAATTGGTCAAATTCAGTACTATACAAGATAAATTTCCAAACTCGATTTTCTCGAAAACAAATTTTAAATTAAGTGAGAACATTTTATTTTTTTCTTCTAGCATATAATCATCTCATTGTCAGTGCATCATATACAATTTAAATACACTGCACTTGTACATCATATTTAATTTAATATTTTGCTATGTGTTAATTTCTACATTTTTATTTTTTCGCTATACTATACAAATTCCATTAACTATTCAAATATTATATATTACATATATACACACATATATTAGTAAATAATACATTATTATAAATGACGTTTTATTATTTATTACGTAACAAATAATTGAGCACTTCATAAATATCCTGCAAGAGATATGTGATTGAAAGAATAATCAATTGATTTCAATTTTTAAAAATTATTAAAAGAAAAATTAAAATGAAAATGTTTAGTCGGATATACGTAAGTATAGATTCTAGATAATTAATCAAATTTATGATTGAATTTCATTCGAATATTTTACTAATAGCTTGCAGGATGTTGAAAATTATAAATGGTTCTAATTCAGTGACCAAAAGCTGTATATTTAAAAATAAATTAACGATTTACAGGTTCAATTAATATTGTTTCACCGCTATATTCATTCGCTATATAAATTTTGCTTCATTTCAATGCTTGAAGAAACTTACATGATTTAAACAGATAGCTTAGCTCATTCATGATAGAACTCATCCCTCTATTCTTCAGATAGCAGCATAAATAATATCCTTACCAATGATTACTATTAATAGTTTCTTTTTCATGAAAATGAGAATATAGTCATGTATCACTTATTCCTCGTGAATTTTAAGAGTGAAACGTGACCTCAAAGTTTAAACAAGCTTTGAATATTCCATTCCATTTACAATTCTTCGTGTATTTGATCACGCCAATGTTTTCTTATTATACTGTGATTTAAACAAAATGTTCAGAATTGATTGATCTTGTCGTATTTTATCGTGTTATATCATTATTGTCGTAATAATAATATATAAACTATAATGTATAATTGTATAAACTGTTAAATATTCTTAACTGTATAAACTATGTGGGAAATGTTCACTGTAATATTTTATTCTTTATCTTAAATGCCATCCAGTACATCTGGATTAATTCGTCCAGTACATCTATCAAACTTTTCCATTTCTTTGACCAATTAAAAATGGTCCAAAACGTTTTTCTTCTTAAAACTCGACGAACTTTCCAGTTAAAAGATTTATTTCGTAAAGCGAAGCAAGCGACGTGTGAATAAACTGCAGGAAACTGAAAGTTTCAGGATGAAACAGTAGCGCGGTGGAAATAGTGACGTTAACAAGTCAGGTGAAACAGAAAAAGAATTATTTCCGCTTTTCTTTGGAGATTCTATCATAAAACTTTCCCATCTTAATTGGCATAGCGGAAACGAGAAAAGAAAAAAGATAGAAAAGAATTGAAACTCGAACAAGAGCAAGAAAATCATTTTTCCCTTTCGAAAAAACGGAAAAGAAAGTTTCGTATCGGAGTTAACAGAAAATTGTCTGTAAGTCTAATATGCGCTTTCATGATGAAAAAAGAAGCGTTTGACAACCGCTTGATGGATTACTGGCGTTCCATTAACTCGCAGACTCGATAATAAGAAATTCTGGTTCCGATGTTTTCCTCTATCGAGACGTACTGATGTCGACGACAGATCTGTCACAGATTTATTGAACGTCTTTCTTTATTTCGACGTTTTTAGAAATACGATTAATTCAGGAATGTCTTAACAGAAATTTATCGTGTTAACTTTAACCTTGTTTCTCTTATTGAGATGTATTTTTTCAAACAAATATCACAAACTGGAGCAAATTTAATCACTAATTATTAGATCGCGAATTTTTGTGCATTTTCATATTTTTATGAACATAACTGAAGAAATGGGATCGAAATAGAAATTTGTTTTATCTTCTAAATATTACAATAAATATTTTCGATGTTTATACGTCTCGCATATAATATGCATTAGGTGAATTTTTGTATTTCGAAGTTTAATTTATATTTTTATGAAATTTATAATGAAAAAGTAAAGATTCGGTCAAAAATTTTGTATTGCATTGCATTTTCAATATTATAAAATTTTTTTGTATTGTGTGCATTATATGAAATTTTGTAGTTTGAAATTTTATGAATGCATAAAAATTCGCAGTCTGACGTATAGTAATAATCTTTCCGACATAATTTCGTATCGCGAATATGTAATTTTAAATCGAATATAAGTCGAAAAAGATACAGGTGAAAATTTTGTTTTTAACGCCACGAAAATTTCAATATTAATTGAATATTAATTATAATTTTTTTAAAATGTTATAAACGTGCTAATAATTTTAATTTTTTGATTAAAATGCAAATTGAATACTCTCAATTGATATTCTGATTTTGATTGCTATTCTATTTTTCACGTCAATTTCGATATTTATTAAAGATTAATTAAAATAAAAATAAGATTTTCTAGCAATAATTTTTCAAATATAATTTCGAATTTATTGCTTACCTAAAGTGTAACACTATCTTGTTTTCGACGCTATGCAAATTTCAATATTAACAAATTTTAACTAACTAATTAACTTCTAAGTAATTAACTAACTAACTTCTAACGAACCAGTTAACTAACTAACTATAAATTCTAACTAAATATAGTTTGGCCATCCTTAAATGCATATCGTTGCGGACACGCAACATTCTATAATTATTAATTTCAAATTCACGGGATCAGAGAAAATTTGAAAGAATAGGAAAATGTGCAATAAATAAGATACTACAATAAAACAGAGTGAAAATAGCAGAGCAAAAGAGAGTAAATAAATTGAGTGTATAAGGATAAGACAGTTTTGTAAAAATATATTAATATAAACCATATCTAATTTTTGAATTCAAGACAGTAGAATATTATTATTTTAAATCAATGATTTAAAAAAAAATTGTGTACTTAAAAAGTTCGTAATTATATTATTAATTCGATTAATAACGTTGCACATAAGTAACAATTTATTGATTTAACAAATTCTCTTTTCAACTTCACGTTATTTAAACGTCATCCGTAGAATATCGAGAAAAAGGATTTCCTTTGAATAGGGATTGCTAATATCCTTTTCGACATACCAAAGAGAAATCTACAAAGAATTAGTTTTTTTCTTTACTTTTTATTATAGGAGGAAATTTTATATGCAATGTGTGTATTATCCACATGTAAATTCTTCTTTCGTGGCAACGTTATGGCATATATTTTAACATTGAAATTAATAAATATTAAATAATAAAATATTCAAAAAATGCAAAATTTTCAAATATGATATTTAAATATAATCTAATACAATTACATCTTTCAGTTATATAAAACGTATGCTTTTATTTGAAATTTCTTCGAGCTTTTCGACGAAGTTAATAAATGAATCAATAGCAAATATGTGTGTCAAAATAAATTTTACAAATGTATTTTAAAATACCAAAAATACCAAAAATATCTTCGCGTACGGAGCACAAAGTTATTCCTTTTGTATATACATATCAGAAAATATTCTCTTTCTACAGTAATATTCAGTTCATACATGAAATTATCGTTATCGTGTAAAATCTAGTATATTACTGGCCAATTCTGCGTAAATATGGTAGGAAATAAAAACGTTTATAGTTCCTAGATTCGATCGAAAATAACGGGACAATCTTTTGAAACTGATGAATTGAAGATAAAAAAAAAAGAAAGTAAAATTCAGAGCATAATATTAAGATTTTGCACTTCGCAACGACAGATTCTTAAATTAGCCAAGAGTTCCGTTAACCTCGATCTCGCTGACCTGAATATAATAACTGCATTAGTCGAACAACTTAAACTGTTGCGCATGTCGCTGAAAGTTGAGGATGGCGTCGAGATTCGAACACACGCGCCGGCATAATTTTACTTGAACTAGTAGTGCACACCTTCGATCGTTTACCACCGCACCGAGGTTTCATTTACAATTGACCGCGTGCTGATACGATCTCTCTCTCTCTCTCTCTCTCTCTCT